ATCCTAGCCACTTTAATGGAGGGGATTATCTGGGAAACGCAAGCAAACAAAATTTAACGGAGGCTTCTACAGTCATATCCTAATTTTTTTTTCGGACTGTGCCGAAATAAATTTACTTTAGGTTATATTGATGTAGATGTGGGAAACTTTAAAACCAATTTAAAACTCTCCCCTACAAAGCTAATCTGAAAAGCAAAGGCTACTTCAGCAGGATGTAGGAAATTTTTTGTTAATTAAAGCATGGTTTAATGGAGGAGTTCAACTAGTAATGGGCTTCAAACAGTGCATCTTGTGAGAAGGCTGTGGAGGGTTTCGTATGTGTACAGACTACCGTAAGGTTGAATGAGGGTCATTAACAGATGTTACCCTCTTCCTCGTCTGGAGGACGTGATTGACTTTTGTGGGTAAGGCTACTTTTGTCGTCCTAGTTAGACCTCCTTAAAGGTTACTATCAGGTACTTTCGAGGATAATGCGAAGGAATAATCTATCTCAGCCTTAGTAAATTCCAGGAGGTCATTTATCAATTACACAGTTACCCCCTTCGGATATGAAAAAAATTAAACCCCTCTTCATTCCAAAAACTAATCCATCAGGCTATTAAAGGACTTGAGGCACGGCAGCATACCTAGATGATATTGTTGTGGGTGTCTGATGCTTGGGATCAACACCTACTTGACTTAATGGCTCTTTTTGAGTACCTTTTAAGTAGTTCCCATTTAAACAGTTAATTTATCTAAATCTTCCTTTGGCCAGGCCACTTTCACTTTTCTAGGCCATGTGTTAGGTAGTGGTAAAAGTGCTCTAAAAACTTGCTAAAGTTCCTTTGCTATTTAAAAGATTATTCCAGTTCCTTTCATGATAGGAAATTATCTCAACGTTTCTAGGGGGGGGGGCATGATAGGATTTTTACAGAAGGGATTTGTAAGGAATTTCTCAGATATTGTAGCCCCTCTTACCTTTCCTTACCAGGTCACAAAAGTTCCCTTTAATTGGACCTCAGACTGTAAACACTGCTTTAATAAAGCAAAAAGATTATTGTGTACTGCACCCTTCTTCTTGTCTCCAGACCTTCTCCAAACCTTTTTCATTACAGGTTTGATGATTGCGAGTTTGGGGTTGGGGCCAGTACTATTAACAAAACGAGGAATGAGGTAGTTGCCCAGCCTGTAGCATACTTTTCAGCCAAGTTCCAGCCACTCAAAGGGCTTACTCTACCCACTGAAAAAAGAAGCCCTCGCGCTGGAAAACTGGCTTTGGAGCATTTAGATGTTTTTATGTGGGCCAGACATCGCCAGAGTGGTCACAGGTCTCAGTGATCCCACAATCCTCTAGTATATCTCCTAAGCATGAAGAACCACAACACAAGGCTCATGTGGTGGACGTTAAGACTGCAACCATACTCACTCAGATATTAAAATTATATTGCCGGCAAAAGGAAAAATATGGTGGCAGACTCTTTATCTAGATAGTCTAATATTTTTATATATTTAGGTTAGGGATGTTTATTATTTGTGGGTAACCCTTTTCACGCTCTTTTTTTTTTATCCCCTGGTGTGGGTTTTTTTTTTTTTTAGTGAGGGTGATGTGGGCTAACCGTCGCCTGTTTCTTGGACCTATGCTAGCCTGACTGGACTGTCTGTCTCACTCTGAGTTTAGGGTTTGCTTTTTGTTACGAGAAAAAAGCTTAGCTCTATCTAAGAGTTGGATGGTGGAGAGGAAAGGCGGTCCCATTATTTTGTGCCATGGCGGCACGGTTACTACTGGGAGTGGCAGCCCTAATCCTGAGCCTTCTCGGGGTGGGGGTGTGGCATGCAAAGAGTACGTAAACCTTCTTTTCGGCGCCATGTACACACATCAATTTACAGGCTATTCCCCCAACCAGCGAAACCAGGTTGCTAAGAGTTGTATGGATGGGGCCCCGCATTCAAATAGTGACCATGGTTCTAGCCAATAAGAAGATGGTTTTGGGCAATCGCAGAGGTTAATGGTGGGTAAACCACTCTCCTGTCCTGCCTTGTCATTCACATTCTGAGCTGGTTTGAAGCACTGTCTGCTTGCTTGTGGCTTCTATTTCTGCCTTGCTCTCCGTGGAGTGCACTATACTTATCACTGTACATAGTGTACATATTGCTGTTCTAAATTGGAGAAGGATAATGTAAGTCTAAACTTTTTCTGCTGTGTTTATTTTGCTCCCATTACACCCGGGATAACAGGCCATTTGGAATCCTGGGTTGTAATAGTTACCTTGCTTACACTCCAACAGCACGTCAAGTCCTAAAAGCCATTTGTCTCCATTCGCTCCTGTCTAACACACTCATGCACGCTTGCTGGAAGGCCAAGCCCCTAGCTCACAAAACCTCCTTTACCCCCTCCCTCCAACTTTTCCAAGGTTGACCCCTACCCCGCCTTCCCTCCACTAAAATTTATACACTCTTGAAGTCATTCTGTTTCATTCCATCCTCTCTATATGTCCAAACTATCTCAATAACCCCTCCTCAGCCCTCGGGATAATAGTTTTGGTAATCACACACCACCTCCTATCTCCAAACTACGGAGTGTCTGCATTATATTCACACCACACATTACCCTCAGAACTAGGTATTAAAATACAATAAAAAGTAATATACATACACAATACATTCATTACTTACCTTAAAGTCTTATGTAGGGCGAGAGGCGAGTAGTATTTATTTGTAATCCCAGGCAGACTACATCCCAGGCAGACTACATCTGCCTGGGCTATACCTACCGGTTGCATACACTGCGGCCCACAGCCATATTATTACCACTGACATACCACGTTTACCAAGTTTAATCATTTCTAACAACTACCTTTAGATGCCATCGTAAACAAAGGGAGAAGTAATGAATAATTCATGCCGAGAATTGTAAACAAAAGCGTTATGTAAAGTGTATTAAGGGTGGTGACTGGGCCAGATGCAGATTCAAACAGTTTTCTCTAACGCTGGACCAGTGAAACCGTAATGTTTTCCCTCCACTGACTCACCCCTCGAGAGCACGAACGTTGCATGTTTATATGCTATGTAACGTGTTTCTTATATAATTTTGAAGAAAATATCATAGATGGATTAATAAAAATGTTTATATTAACGTAAAATAAGACATTTAATGTGCCCAAGAGTGATTATTATTACATACTATTAGTATTGCTATGGTGTTAAGACTAGAGGGAGACACTGAGTGAACGAGTAATAAAGGCATGTTTATATGCTATGTAACGTGTTTCTTATATAATTTTGAAGAAAATATCACAGATGGATTACTGAAAATGTCTATATTAACGTAAAATAAGACATTTAATGTACCCAAGAGAGAGTCACGAACGTATGAGTGGCCCAGGAGGACGCATCTGACATGAACAATTTCCGGGATGATGTACGAAATCCAGAGCAAAATTTTGCTGAAAAGTGGTTGAAATCCGAATATATGATATCCAATGTGGACGAAATCTGGGGTTCCACTGTACTACTCGTCTCACCCTACATTAAGATTGCAAATATTTTAAGGTAAATGAGTGTACTATATGTATATTTTAATTTGTTATTGTTTTTAATGCCTAGCTCTAGTGCTAACTTAATAAATGTTAGCGTAAACTTGTTAACTAGCATTTACAAGTGAAAAAAAGAAGTGTGTTCCACTTTACGGCAATTTCTGCTTTATGGAGAAAGCCTGGAACCTAACCTGCCATATAAGTGGGGTCCTACTGTATATATTATAGAACAATAGTAATAAACAACTTTTTTATTGTTGGTTTGTGTAAAGAGGTTTTGTAAACAATATAATAACAAAGTTTGTATGGTTACTGTGTAGCATACAACGAGTGAATATATATGCATTACACATTACGTATACTGGTCTCATGGGTCACAAAAGTTACTTGAAAAATTAAAATATTAATAAATAAAAGAAAAAAGTAGAATAAAAGTATAAATAATATTACCAATTGAGTGGCAGTCGCCGATGTTGCCGTAAGCGGTTCACTTTCTGTCAACTTCACGCTTTCTATATCTCGGTGAGTACTGATTGCAAATTGTTGTTCTTTTAAAACACTCACAAAAATATTTTTAAGATTTTGGTAAGAAAATTTTTTTTTTTTTTTTTCGAATATTTTTAGACAGTGAATTCAGGATCAGGGGGTCTCAACAGTGAAAGGCTTAAAATTCCTGTATGTGTGGTAACTGATTATTTTTCCTGACTGAAAGAACCTATTTTTCTACACAGAACTACAAAAAACATTAAAAACTAAGGAAAACTTAGTTTTATGGCATATCGAAGATGTAAAAAGATAATGAATCGGCAACATCGACATAAATGTGAAAGGTGGTATTTACATTTTCCTGTTTATTTAGCCAAATTCCAATTTTTTTTTAATATCTAACACTATGTAAATTACTGTGCTTTACAGAATAATAGGCATGTTTCAAAGTGTACAAATAATAAATGGGTACAAATAATTGTTTTTTGTATCTCTATTCATTACTTTTGTCTAATGCTATATATAAGGAAATCTTATGATATTACAAGTGTTTCAAGGAGAGAGACTTCTCAGAAAATGAAAACAGGTCACAGTAACTTTATTGGGTTATCGTAAGTTAAATCGACATCATGTGTGTTTTGGTTGAATTCCACATCTAGTATCATGAAAGTGTAATAAATTTAGAAGAAATAAGGCACATCATGTTTGCTGGCAGAAAGCTGGTGGTGACATGATAGGGCCTGAATGTTGTTACTTACATGTGCTACTGACAGTGCTATCTATGATGCACTGCATGGATCCACCCGGTTCTTGTTCAAGGCATGAAGTGGTGCTACATGACCCAAAATGTTGAGCCAAGACCTAAAATGGCAATGGGCTACATATCTGAAGGCACAAAATTTATGCACAGCTTGATCCCCTGCATACTAGTGCACAATAAAGGGCTAATCCTGAAGGTAGGAGTCTCACTCATTAATAGCCAGAAGTTTCATTCATGCTTACCATTGTACTCATCAGTGTATGCTGATCTAACTGTGGCAAGGAGGAGCCAAGAGCAGCCAAACTATGAGCAGAGTTTGTCATATTGTGTAGTTGTTCAACAGTAGTAACACTAGGTGGCTGGGTTAATTCCTTGGGGCTGGGATTGTGGCGCCACCCGCAAGCTGTCTTGTGGCTATTTACAAGGCAGTCTTTTAGCAGAGTCAAAAATTTTTCATCTGTAAAACATGATATCTAATTAACACAATTTTACTCTTTTTATTTTATTCATGTGTGACAGCATCATTATTATTTAGTACATATGGGTCACTTCCATTTTTCTTCTGAATAGTAGTGTTATTTTTCAGATTTATTGTTATTTTTATATTATGAAATTATTACTGCATATAGTCGCTGCTTCAAGAATTTGAGTTCATGAAGTGAATGACATCCAATGTAAAAAACTGTACCTATAATCTTAGACTATAACCCAAATTATTTTTTTTAAGTTCTTGAGCTGAACTGAATTCAAATTCTTGAATGTCATCTAATGAAAAAATTAGTTCCTATGTTATCAAAGGTAAAAAAAAAAGTGCCTTTAAACTTACTAGACTATAACCCAAAATAATTTTTTCTTACAATCATGTACAATGATATGCTCCAGTAGTCTTAAGATAGGCTTAAGTTTGCCCAAAATGTTCCTCATAACCATGGACTTTCAACATATATTACAATATCACTCATTTCTGTATAAATATTGTATTATTTTGAAATGAACTTGTATTTGTATAAGATGAAACCAACATTTGACGAGCACCAACAACACTCCACATCCTCATCCCATGCATGATGAATATTCCATTCCTAACATAATCAAATTTTTTTATCAGTGCAATAGTGTTCAATAAATCAACTATCAAGGGTTACACCAATCCAAGAAAGTGGAGATGCAAAAGATATCAACAACTAAAGGACAATCATAGAATTGATGAGGGGAATTGTTAAATGTTGATGAAGATAGGGAAGCTGTGATTTCGTGTATAGGGCAAGGAGGAATAACATCTTGTAGGAGTGAGGAAGAGCCAGTTGTGAGTGTGGGGGAAGTTCGTGAGGCAGTAGGTAAAATGAAAGCGGGTAAGGCAGCCGGGATTGATGGGATAAAGATAGAAATGTTAAAAGCAGGTGGGGATATAGTTTTGGAGTGGTTGGTGCAATTATTTAATAAATGTATGGAAGAGGGTAAAGGTACCTAGGGATTGGCAGAGAGCATGCATAGTTCTTTGTATAAAGGCAAAGGGGATAAAAGAGAGTGCAAAATTATAGGGGGATAAGTCTGTTGTGTGTACCTGGAAAGTGTATGGTAGAGTTATAATTGAAAGAATTAAGAATAAGACAGAGAATAGGATAGCAGATGAACAAGGAGGCTTTAGGAAAGGGTAGGGGGGTGTGTGGACCAGGTGTTTACATTTGAAACATATAAGTGAACAGTATTTAGTTTAAGGCAAAAAGAGGTCTTTGTGGCATTTATGGATTTGGAAAAGGTGTATGACAGGGTGGATAGGGGGGCAATGTGGAAAGATGTTGCAAGTGTATGGTGTAGGAGGTAGGTTACTGAAAGCAGTGAAGTTTTTTTACGAGGAAGTTAGAGTAGTAGGAAAGAGGGAAATTTTTTCCCAGTAAAAGTAGGCCTTAGACAAGGATGTGTATGTCACCGTGGTTGTTTAAATATTTTAGATGGGGTTTAAAGAAAGTAAATGAGAGGTCTTGGCAAGAGGCGTGGATTAAAAGATAAAGAATCACACACAAAGTGGGGTTGTCACAGCTGCTCTTTGCTGATGACACTGTGCTCTTGGGAGATTCTGAAAGAGAAGTTGCAGAGATTGGTGGATGAATTATGGTAGGGTGTGCAAAAGAAAAAAATTAAAGGTGAATACCCGGAAAGAGTAAGGTTATGAGGATAACAAAAAAGATTAGGTGATGAAAGATTGAATATCAGATTGGAGGAGAGAGTATGGAGGAGGTGAACGTATTTTAGATATTTGGGAGTGGACGTGTCAGCGGATGGGTCTATGAAAGATGAGGTGAATCATAGAATTGATGAGGGAAAAAGAGTGAGTGGTGCACTTAGGAGTCTGTGGAGACAAAGAAAATTTGTCCTTGGAGGCAAAGAGGGGGAATGTATGAGAGTATAGTTTTACCAACGCTCTTATATGGGTGTGAAGCGTGGGTTGATAAAGTTGGGAGCGAGGAGAAGCTGGAGGCAGTGGAGATGTCATGTCTGAGGGCAATGTGTGGTGTGAATATAATGCAGAGAATTTGTAGTTTGGAAGTTAGGGGAGGGGCGGGATTCCCAAAAACTGTTGTCCAGAGGGCTGAGGAAAAGGGTTGTTGAGGTGGTTCGGACATGTAGAGAGAATGGAGCGAAACAGAATGGACTTCAAGAGTGTATCAGTCTGTAGTGGAAGGAAGGCGGGTAGGGGTCGGCCTAGGAAGGTTGGAGGGAGGGGGTAAAGGAGGTTTTGTGTGTGAGGGGCTTGGACTTCCAGCAGGCATGCATGAGCGTGTTTGATAGGAGTGAATGTAGACAAATGATTTTTAATACTTGACGTGCTGTTGGAGTGTGAGCAAAGTAACATATATGAAGGGATTCAGGGAAACCGGCAGGCCGGACTTGAGTCCTGGAGATGGGAAGTACAGTGCCTGCACTCTGAAGGAGGGGTGTTAATGTTGCAGTTTAAAAACTGTAGTGTAAAGCATCCTTCTGGCAAGACAGTGATGGAGTGAATGATGATGAAAGTTTTTCTTTTTCAGGCCACCCTGCCTTGGTGGGAATCGGCCAGTGTGATAAAAAAAAAAAAAAAAAAAAAAGGTGAATGGTGCACCGAGGAGTCTGTGGAGACAAAGAACTTTGTCCATGGAAGCAGAGAAGGGAACGTTAGAGAGTATAGTTATACCAATGCTCTTATATGGGTGCGAAGCATGGGTGGTGAATGTTGCAACAGTGGTGACCTGTACATAGCTCAGTGAGGACGTGTCTAGTGTACTCCCTGCAGACTGAACCAAGATGCCCTCCATTGAGCAACTTTACCAGCAGCTGAAAGAGGAACTAAGGGTAGTCAAGCCTGAGACACGGAAATTGACGGAGGAAAACAAGAGGATTCGTAGTAGTCCTGTTGTGAGTCCTCAGGTCAGGAAGGGAACCTGGGCAGTTGTTGGACAGCATGGAATGAAGCTGAAGATCAAGAAGACGAATGGAGAGGTAGAAACGATGAGGAAGAAAGAGACTGCTGTAGAAACTGTTGTGGAAACATCGAATGCATTCTCCTTGATACCCGATGAACGTGAGTCGACTACTGGGAACGTCACGATGAACGACGCCAAGGAAGAGGAAGGCGAGTCAACATCCCTTGAAACCCCAACAAAGACCATCGAGAACGTCACTACAAACTCCACCAGTGAAGGTAAGAACACTGTTTTAGTTGGGGACAGTCAGGTGAAATTTATGGATAGGGCTTTTTGTGTTAGGGACAGGAAGAGGAGGCAAAGGGTACGTTTTCCTGGGGCTGGGATGGGGGATACTGTTAGCCATCTGGACTAGCAATATCCCCCATGGGATATCTACCTCAGTGTGGGAGGCAATGATGTTGGCAGACGTAGGAGTGAAGACCTGATTAGCAGGTATAGGACAGCAACAGAGATAATTAGGAAGAAGGGTGGGAACCCTGTCATATGTGGCATTTTGCCAAGGAGAGGAGTTGGAAATGAATGGCTGTCCAGGGCAATTGGTGTCAATTGCTGACTGGACAAACACTAAGGAAAATGCAGTAACATTCATAGACAACTGGGACCTCTTCTATGGCAGAAATGACATGTATGCCAGGGATGGGGTTCACTTATCTAGGTTTGGGGTGGGAGCACTGGCCAATGCAGTGGAGGGAGCTGCTAGGTCTTTAATTAAACTAGAAATAGATAGTGGTATGGGTTTTTGTGGAAAATCAATGTATTCTGAGTGTAGCAGTAGTGCGAGTTTTAACCCTTTGAGGGTCGACAGGCCCTCTCCGAAACTCGTTCTCAGGGTTGGCCAAATTTAAAAAAAAAAAAAATAATTTTCTCTTATGAAAAGATAGAGAATCTTTTCCCGATCATAAGGACACCAAAAGTTTGAAATTTGATGGAAAACTTACGGAATTATGCTCTCGCGAAGTTAGCGGTCTCAGGGATATTTACGCATCGGCGATTTTGCCCACTTTGAGCCCCATTTTCGGCCAATTCCACTGTACTAGTAGACAAAAAACATGAATATTTCGCTAGAACTCCATTTTTTCTATCGAATGGGTGCAAGAAACCACCCATTTATGAAATTCAACTATCCAGTACAGTGGTCAGAATTTAGCAATTTTGCCAATTTCATACAAATTTCAAAAGATGCCAATTTCCGAATAGGGTCCAGAATAAACAAGAAAGACATTCCTGGCACTAAAATGACATTTCCTCTGGTCATTAGTCACGTCTCAAGGCCCCTCTTATATTCTTTTGCTTTCCACTTTGAATTTTTATTCTCACAAAAAATATAAAATTTATTGTTATGCAGACTACTGCATTAGTGTAAAAAATTTTATAAATATTATTGGCGCACTTGTGAAAGAATATTAGACTCACCAGTTGACGTGTATTGGACCATTGGCACGATTTGTTTACTTTTGAAATTTGGCAAAAATTTAACATTTCTGCTACTTTGAGCTCAATTTCAAGGTATCTTTCATTGTAAAACCAGTCAAAATCATCTCAATTTCTGTAATATGTCTTCCATTCTATAAAATGAGACCAAGAAAACTAGAATACAACAATAAATACCATAACGAAAATACAGTGCAAAGTCGCTGTTTTATTCCAAAAAAACGGTCAGTTTTTTTTTTTCTCATTATGTACTGTGTGCTGCAGGATTTTTTTTAGACTGTGCACACTGACCACATAGACCCATTCTTTCATATGAAGGCCCACCAGCTTTCTCCCACTAGATTTGAGGGTGCTAGAATTTAGGCGTACTAGTACGTCAAAAACCCTGGGTCGTAAGCCGTACTAGTACGTCCGAAACCCTCAAAGGGTTAAGGAAACCAGTTATAAGCAGAATGAGGTAGAGTTACTGGTGAATATAGGTAAACCAGTGGCATTAGGTGACAAGGAGAGTAACAGCCATAGTGGAGGAACAGAAATCAGCAGGAAGAGAAAAGAGAAGGGAGGGTTTCTGAAAATATAATTTTAAACATACTCTTAAGCATTTTCTAGTCTAGTTAACCTACAATAAGCCAATAGTGACTTTCTTTGTACTTAACAAATCAAAATTGCAATCACACATTGTAAACATGGCAAAGAAATATAATCTGTCTTTATCTTAACTAACATTCAACAAAAAATACAGAAAAAAGCATAAAAATTTAATATGTACATTAGTTTTAAAAAGATGAAAATATAAAAAGAACACAGTTTTACTAACGTGCATCTCGATCAACCAGATTAGGAAGGGCAGCACATACAACTTCTTGGCAAGTGATGCACTGAAGAATGTCTTTTTCTATTATATGCCAACCCCATCTGGCACACTCTAGAGGACTCACTTCAAACACATTCCATAGTCCTGGCCGGAAGGAGTCCACACGGCTACAAAATGCCTCATAATTTCTAGGCTGAGTCCTAGGTGTAATACTGTCAGGGGATGTTTTATCTTCATTTCTGAAAGGACAAACATGAAAAATTGTATAATAACTCTTAAATTTTGGATTTTTGCCCAGCAGATTGTGTGACCCACTAAAAGTAATACCAACCTACATGTTCTGCATAATCTTTAACACTTGCAATATACTCTTAGACCATTTTTTCCCCAGTAATTACACTAAATGTACTGTAGTTTATATACTTTACAATAACGCATAATTAGTTGTCCTTTAACATTTGTTTCTGCCACTGTTTAGCAGCACAACAATCACAAGAGAGAAGTGATCCCTCCACACTCAACATTACTTCTTGTTTCAAGTGTTAATTGTAAAGGCGTTATAGTGTCTCCTAAGAAATTGCCGGACCAACACTGCAAGAGACCGATGAATTTCAATGTTTCGTCATTTTCTCTTACATTAGATGGGTTATGGGTTACACTACAGAGGCTGATCACATGTCAGGCAACTCACACACATTGCTGTAAAAGGCTGTATTTTCATGTGCTTTCTCTCCATTTTGGACTTTCTTTTTTTTTTTTTTTTTTTTTCTTCTTCTTCGCCGGTATTCTCCCGGCCCGGGTCTTTTCCAAGTAGTTGGATTGTTTCACAGCCAGTCATACAGATCAAATAACTTCCCTAAACACGAAGATTGAAGATGCCGTCAAGGACTGGAAAATAAATATGGATACCCAATTGAACAATTATTTTGCTTACCAAGATAAGCAGAGCAGGATAAGCTAGCCGATGCAGTAATGATTAACAGTCCACTCTTTCCTAGTGAATTAAACCATACCAACTGCAAAGCTACAACTATTCAGATCATACAAGACCACCTACATGTTAGTGTGCCAGTGTTGGAAATAAAATAATCACAGTTACTAGGGAACCAATGGAGAAAAAGTGTTATGCTCAGATTTCACACAAAAGACAGAAAAAAAGACCTAATAAGTTCATCTATTAAAGCAAAAAAAGATATATACATAAATGAGTGTCTCACAAGAAAACGACAACCTTCTGTACAAAGTGAGAAAACAAACGTGAGAATGATAAAATTCACCAGTGCTTTGTACGTGATGGACAAATTCTAGTAAGAAAAACAAATGTAGGCCATGTGTACTATATTACAAATAAAAACGAACTAATAAACTTCCTTCATGATGCAAACATTACAGAGTCTGACTGATATTAGTGACCAAATCATTGTACTACGTAAGTGTATGTTATTATGCCATCATTGAATTAATCCCTGTACTATCACCTACCATATAGTATTTACTACCTCATTATCCCATGTGTCCCACACAGTTCCTTGTGTGACTCAATTTGTGTTATCTTCCCAGATCTCCAATTCACAATTTATTATTTGATAATAAGATACTTACTCTATAATAATATTTGTACAGTGGTCCCTCGATAATCGTCGGGATCAATAGTCGTCCTTTTCGGAAATCGTCGCATTATTGTTGTCCAAACATTGGCTCGCAAATGGTCAGTTGACTAGCTAATCGTCGTTCATCTTGGACACATACTCACGGCTCTGAGCCACCTCGGCCTCCTTTCTCAGCCAGTGTGCCATTGTTTACGAGTGAGCGACAGTCCCCTCACTTGTTCATACGAAATATTTTTTTTTTTTTTTTATTATCACACCGGCCGATTCCCACCAAGGCAGGGTGGCCCGAAAAAGAAAAACTTTCACCATCATTCACTCCATCACTGTCTTGCCAGAAGGGTGCTTTACACTACAGTTTTTAAACTGCAACATTAACACCCCTCCCTCGAAATATTTCATAATATCCCATTCATTTTAGTGTTTGCAAGTGCTAAATAAGCTACCATGGCTCCAAAGAAAGCTTCTAGTGCCAAGCCTTTGGTAAAGGTGAGAAATACGATTGAATTTAAGAAAAACATCATTGAACAATATGAAAGTGGCGTACGTGTGGCTGAACTGGCCAGGATGTATAACAAATCCCATACAACCATATCTTCCATCGTGGCAAAGAAAAAGAAAATCAAGGAAGCTGTTGTTGCTTGGAGAAAATTGTGGCCTGATTGTGTCCACAAGAGGGATTTTGAAGGGTTTGTGGCTGACCCTGATGAGCCTATGTCAGTTGTGAAATTGATTGTGGCATTGGGGAGGTCCATAGGGTCGGATGTGAGTTTGGAGGATGTGGAAGAGTTGGTGGAGGACCACAACGAAGAGCTAACCACTGAGGAGCTGCAAGAGCTTCAGCAGGAACAGCAACAGATCGCAGCTCAAAATCTTGCTGCAGAGGAGGAAGAGAGATGGAAGAAGGTGCCTTCTTCAGAAATTAAGGAGATTTTTGAAGTGTGGGGTAGGATGGAAAGATTTATGGAGAAACATCACCCTGAGAAGGATGTTGCAAGCCATATTGGCAACTTGTACAGTGACAGAGTTTTGGTCCATTTTAGGAAAGTTTTAAAGAGATGCCAGAAACAGAGCTCTATGGACACTTTTTTTTGTGAGACAGGACTCCAGTGACTCTCAAGCTGGTCCTGGTGGCATTAAGAAACAGAGAAGTATGTAACCCCAGAAAAGGACTTGGTACCTGAAGTGTTGATGGAAGGGGATTCCCCTTCCAAACTGTAAATAATTCAATCTCTCTCCTCCTCCAGTCTTCCATACACTAAGAAGAATTGCCAATAAAGGTAAGTGTTATGCTGTTAATGTTTCATTCATCATGTCCCATTGTATTGTTTATGTACTACATCTATATTTCATGTAAAAAAATTTTTGTTTTAATACTTCTGGGTGCCAGGAACGGATTAATTGTATTTACATTGTTTCTTATGGGGAAAATTTATTCGAAAATCGTCTATTTCGATAACCGTTGCACTTCCAGGAACGGATTAACGACAATAAACAAGGGACCACTGTATTACCAATTATTCCTTAAGCACTGTTATAATTTTCTTATAATCTTGCCAAATTTTCCCTTTGCTCCCAAACTACAAATAACCAACTAGTGTATATTCCTACTAGACTACTGTGCAATTCCTTGTACCATCTTTTACTAGCTAGTATCAACTATCTCAAATAATAACTCTTTTTGTGATATTAATTGCTCAAACATTATGCTATAAAGCAACTCCTACTCTCAGGTTAATTTCATATCATAGTGACTATCCTTTAAAGGTTGTTTACCACTACTTAATTTAGTCCCTTTTTACATTTCTCCTGAAATAATTCTCTATATACCAATACATTGTACCACCCTTTATTCAGTAATTGCTATACTCTTAGTTTTAATAACAACTAAAGGGCCACGTTCAGGTGTTTTAATATTTTTCCCTCTTGGCCATATACAGAGTCACATTTATTAACCCTTTGACTGTCACAGGCCCCTTTCTGAAACTGTCATTCTATGTCGCAAAATACTCGAAAAAAAAATTATTTTTTCTTATGAAAATGTTAGGATTTAAGCCTAAAAAAAATTTTTGCCATCAGTACTTACCGAGATATAGAGCCGCAAAGTTGGCAGAAAGTGAGGTGCGTACAGCAACAGCGGCGACTGCCGCCCACCCGGTATTCTTTTATTTACTCTAATTCAAAAGTTTCTTGTATTTTCCAATATTTTTCTTTTCCAAGTAACTTATGTGGCCTGTGAGACCAATGTAAGGTGCACTGTTCAAATATACACTTATTGTTTACAACACAATAAGTGAACAAACTTTATCACTATTAGTTTGTGTATAAAATTTGTTTACACAAACAAACAATACAAAACAATGTTTATTACTATTGTTCCATAATATATATACATATGTACAGTCACTGAACACGTTCTTAGAACTGCTGCAGCTTGTGGAACTCTTTGAAACATGGGTATATGCAGAGTGGCACTTGACACTCCTCACACATAAAACGAGTGTCTGTGTGTTTGTGGGCGTTTTGTGGTATGTGTACATACATAACACCTCTTCTGACCATTTTCTTGGAAGTAGCAGGAGGCAGCTGTATGGGGTAGTGATCACCAGGCCTCAAACGAGATGGCGTGTGTAGGTAATTTCGTGGGCGCTGGTCTATTGCAGGTGTTGCTCCTTGGTACTTTGCGATTATTTGTCTGATTACTGACAAACAAAATTCACCATATTTTGGTGTTTTGTTGGTCCTCAACTTGTATATGTTATAAGCATTTAGCATGGAGATATCAACAAGATGGAAAAAGTTTTATATACCACTTATAACTCTTGCGTACACAATCAGCAAACCTAATCTGCATGTCACATTCGTCCACTAAGCGCATATTGATGTTGTAGTCCATGACAGCAGCTGCAGGCTTTAGAATGGGTTCACTGGTCTCTCTGTTGTGCCTGTCACTGTGTGCCATTTCGTTTCAGTGAACTGATGTCAACAATGTGACATTACGTTTGTCATGCCACCGAAATGCCATGATGTCATTGGCAGCAAAGGCTTGCACCTCACCTCTGCGAGTGCCAGCGTCGAACCTTGGCATATGTTTACGATTACCACGCACTGTGCCACACGTCTGTCAAGTTCACTCGCAAGAAATCACTGAGTAAGGGGCTTGTGTACCAGTTATCAGTAAATAACATATGCCCCTTACCAAGATATGGTTCCATCATTGTTCTAACCACATCACCAGAGATACCCAATAACTTCATGGTATCTCTCAAAGTATTACTGCCAGTGTACACAATGATATCCAAAACTAGACCACTTCTGCAATCACACAGTACAAATAACTTTATACCAAAGCATTTCCTCTTGCTTGGTATATATTGCTTGAATGAGTCTTCCTTTGAACAAAATCAAAGACTCGTCAATAACAAGCTTCCTGAAGGGATAAAAATACATGCAGCACTTTTGTTTCATGTACATAAACACATTACTGATCTTATATAACCTGTCGCTTCTGTCAGGCCTGGTTCTGTCTGAAAAGTGTAACATACATAACAGTATCAAGAAACGATTGACACCTATAATGTCACTAAAACCTAGAGTTGAAATCAGGCGTTCTGTTGCCCATTATGTGGTGA